TGTCCTCCGTCTCTCTGCGTCACCGTCCTGCTGCTGAACACCTTTACCTCCGTCCGTCTGAGTCCAGACGCCGCCCTGACGCCGTGATGTTGATCACCTCTGGAGGCGCTCATGTGGGGAAAAAGGCTGATCTGCCATATTTTAAAGAAAAGGCGGCCATTTTAATTCCTAGTGACTGAACCATCGACCCGTTGATGACGTCACTTTAATAATTATTAATTAAAACCAGAAACATTTTGTTCAGCTTACAGACAAAGAATATAATCTAATTTGGGATTAGAATAGAAACAATGAATCAGATTAATCGATTATTGAAATAAACTGTAACTGATTCAGTGATCAATGGTTAGCTGGATTATAGAGGCGGTAAACCTGCCTTTACCTGACAGAGCGACTCACTGAGAGCAGGAATTATGGGAAAAATATCTAAACATTTAGCATTTAAGATAAAAAATAAAAGTTTTCATCTGTCAACCTTCTCTATAATCCAGAACTCAAGTGGAAAAGTTTTAAGTTTAACTTGGTTTAAATTAGTAAAACATCTTCTTTAACTATTTGATTATTAATCAATAAATGGAAAAATTAATGAACAGATTGTTCAGTTAGTAATAAAACCGTTATCAGAATCCAGTCCGTATCGGCCTCCCTCCTCCGCGCTCCGCTGACGGTGAAGCTGGCGTCATCATGGAGGTCCAGCTGAGGTCGCTCTGCCGCCCGTCTCTCTGACCTCGGTGTTTAGGCCCGGTTAGTTGATGGCGTCTGCAGAGACGTTAGCTGATCCCAGACCAGCAGCAGAACCCTGGTGACGGGTCCTTTAGGATCCAGAGGTTCCAAACATCTGGACCTCAGAGCTTCTGGGTCTGAAGGAGAATCTGATTTCCTTCTGGTGTTTGGTTTTAGTGCGGTCCAACGGGCTGGAGGAGGACGGCTGGGAGGAAACGGCTGCTGATGTTAGCAACACAGATGGAAGAACCAGGAAGATCCAGAAGAACCAGGAGAACCTGGAGAACCAGGATGAGGAACCAGCAGAGGAGAGCAGCTCAGGAGGAACGGCTCTGAAGAAACAGAAGAAGAAGAAGAAAAGAAAGTTAGCAGAGACAGAAGCACCAGCAGGTAAAACCAGCACCGGTTCACCTACGGGGGGGGTCCATCACTGGTCTAACGGGTCGGTCTAACGGGTCGGTCTAACGGGTCGGTTCTGTTTCAGCTGGGAAGAAAATCCGGACTGATGAAGAGGAGGAGGCAGCAGAGGAAGATGATTCAGTAGAAGCTGCAGATGAAGAGGAGCAGCCTGAGCTTCCCACAGGATTAACAGGTAAACCCACTGTCCCTGAACGCACCGTCAGCCCAGGATCCGGGCCGCGCTGCCTTCAAGTGTTGCCCGTTCATCGTATCTGTGATGAAGCGGGTGTCAGAGGAGGCAAACAGAACCGCTGCTCTACTGTTACCTGGGAGGAAGCTGCTGTGGTTCCTCCATCAGCAGAACCTGCAGCTACACCTGTTCTCTACAGGAAGACCCGCCGGGTCCAGATCCGCCGGGTCCGGATCCGCCGGGTCCGGATCCGCCGGGTCCGGTTCCGCCGGGTCCAGATCCGCCGGGTCCGGATCCGCCGGGTCCAGATCCGCCGGGTCCGGATCGGCACAGCTGGTTCCAGCTGCTTCAGTAAATCCTGATTTGTTTCCAGGTGCGTTTGAGGACACGTCGTTCGCGTCCCTGGCCGGGCTGGTCAGCGAGAACACCCTGAGGGCGGTGAAGGAGATGGGCTTCGAACACATGACCGAGATCCAGCACAAGACCATCCGCCCCCTGCTGGATGGAAGGTACACTGCACCGGGCAGCCGGAACGCATTCCTCCTGGTTAACTGGTTTAGTAGACTGTTAACTGGTTTAGTAGACAGTTAACTGGTTTAGTAGACAGTTAACTGGTTTAGTAGACAGTTAACTGGGATAGCAGACTAACTCACCCGCTGACTGAGCAGCAGATGTTTGAATTTGAGATGAAAAAGCTTTTTGACTCTGTGGGGGAGGGAGCCGGTCAGAAACATCAGTGGGCGTCCTGCTGACTGGCGGCCGGGTCACGTGTCTGATCTCTGGTTCTGGACGTTCTCTGTTCCACCCGGTCCTGTAGAACCGGACCCTGAAGGAACCAGAGGTGGTTCTCCTCTGGCTGTCGTCATGGTAACGGTCTCTGGTGTCCCTGCAGGGACATCCTGGCGGCGGCTAAAACCGGCAGCGGTAAAACTCTGGCCTTCCTCATCCCGTCCATCGAGCTGATCAACAAACTGAAGTTCATGCCGAGGAACGGTGAGTCGTCGTCGTCCCGCCGCCACCTCTCGCCGCCGCTCCCGTCACCTCCTCACCTCTGCCCGCCCTCCCCTCAGGTACCGGCGTGGTCATCCTGTCCCCGACGCGTGAGCTGGCCATGCAGACGTACGGCGTGATGAAGGAGCTGATGGCGCACCACGTCCACACCTTCGGTCTGATCATGGGGGGCAGCAACCGCTCGGCCGAGGCCCAGAGGCTCGCCAACGGCGTCAACGTCCTGGTGGCTACGCCGGGCCGCCTGCTGGACCACCTGCAGGTGAGAGGAGTCGGTTCTGGTCCGGTTCCGCCGTGTTTCAGGCCGCCGCTTCTCCTAACGTCTCGGTTCCGTCTCAGAACACGCAGGGCTTCATGTACAAGAACCTGCAGTGTCTGATCATCGACGAGGCGGACCGCATCCTGGAGGTGGGCTTCGAGGAGGAGCTGAAGCAGATCATCAGGCTGCTGCCCAGTACGTCCCCACCTCGCCACTGGTTCCACTGGTTCCGCCGTGCCGGCGTTCTCTAAGCTTGTTCCTCTGTGCCGCAGAGAAGAGGCAGACGATGCTGTTCTCGGCCACGCAGACGCGCAGGGTGGAGGACCTGGCCCGCATCTCGCTGAAGAAGGAGCCGCTGTATGTGGGCGTGGACGACCACAAGGACAGCGCCACGGTGGACGGCCTGGAGCAGGTAGGCCCCGCGGCGGGACGCGGTTCTGCGCGGTTCTGCTGAGCGCCGCTGACGGCTCAGCCCGCTGTGTTCCAGGGTTACGTGGTTTGTCCGTCAGAGAAACGCTTCCTGCTGCTCTTCACCTTCCTGAAGAAGAACCGCAAGAAGAAGCTGATGGTCTTCTTCTCGTCCTGCATGTCGGTCAAGTTCCACTACGAGCTGCTGAACTACATCGACCTGCCCGTCATGGCCATCCATGTGAGTGCAGCCCGCCACGCCGCCGCGGCGCCGGCCCTCCGCTCCGGTTCTGACCCGTCTGCTTCTCCTCGCAGGGCAAACAGAAGCAGACCAAACGGACCACCACCTTCTTCCAGTTCTGCAACGCCGACTCCGGCATCCTGCTGTGCACGGACGTGGCGGCCCGCGGCCTCGACATTCCCGAGGTGGACTGGATCGTCCAGTACGACCCGCCGGACGACCCGAAGGTCAGAGCCGCCATCAGAACCAAGAACCCAGACCCCGTCGGTTCTGGGAGGTTGACGTTGTCCCGTCTGTCCTCAGGAGTACATCCACCGGGTCGGCAGAACCGCCCGAGGCGTCGACGGCAGAGGCCACGCCCTCCTCATCCTGCGACCCGAAGAGCTGGGCTTCCTGCGCTTCCTGAAGCAGGCCAAGGTGACGCCTCGGTCCGACTGGGCCCGCTGGGCCCGCTCTGCTGCCGGGTCCGCCCGCTTCACCTCTCCTTCTGTCTGCTTTAGGTCCCGCTGAGCGAGTTCGAGTTCTCCTGGAGTAAGATCTCCGACATCCAGTCCCAGGTGAGTCCAGAACCGGCTCCGGTCCCCCAGAGGTTCTGCTGGGCTCGGTTTGGGTCCAGCTTTTATTTTGCTGTCTCAGATGGACGCTCCGTCCTCCTTCCAGCGCCCCCTGGTGTCCGTCTGGATCACCTCCGTTCTTTCTCATAGATCTCAGCTGAAGTAGATCCGTTCCTTCATGCATCTAGATCATAGATCTGCAGCTTTAAACGGTCCCAGATGTTCGGTTCTGAAGGTTCCTGCAGCTCCTTTGGTTCCGTCCCTGAACTCTTTAGAAAACGTTGTTTAAAGGCTGTTTATTGAAGGTTTATTGTGATTTTAACGTCAGTTTAAATCTCCGTAAATGTAATCTGATTACTTCCTCAGCTGGAGAAACTGATTGAGAAGAATTACTACCTCCACAAGTCGGCGCAGGAGGCCTACAAGTCGTACGTGAGGGCGTACGACTCCCACTCTCTGAAGCAGATCTACAGCATCAACACCCTGAACCTCCCCATGGTGGCGCTGTCCTTCGGCTTCAAGGTCCCCCCCTACGTGGACCTGAGTATCCTTTATGCTGCAGATGCTCCAGAGCCGATGGACCCGGGTCCACGCTGGTCTTTAACCTCCAGGTAAACGAAGACGGGCGGCGTCCCGACGACAGACAGACGGCAGGAAGGCAGATCTAGACCAGTTAGATTCAGGAAAAACTGCTTAAAAACCAACAACTAGCAGAGAACCATCAGATTCCAACGTCTTAAAGGCTTTAAATTATCTTTAATGAATTTTAAAACCAATTAAGGCCTTAGATGGTTTTAAAATTCATTAAATTGATTATTGTGGAATCTAAAATGCTTTAATTAAAAAAGGTTTATATAAACAATTTCGTCAGAGCTTGAGGCGGAGAAAAAGCTAGAGAAAATGGAAATTTCAACAAAAGTGGCCGACTGGGGTTCAAGGAGACAGAAGCAGACATAGAAAAAGAAACATGGATACAAGAGGCAACTGAGAAAAAGCAGAGAGAGCAGAACGTTAGAGATTGAACTAACAGATTCTGCAGAGTGGGAGAATAGAGATAGAATGAAGCAGAATGATGAAAAAGGGGTCCCTATGTCCTCCAGCAGTCTAAGCCTATAGCAGCAGAACTATAGAGATAGATCAGGATAACCTGAGCCACTCTAACTAGAAGCTTTATCAAAAAGGAAAGTTTTAAGCCTAGCCTTAAAAGTAGACAGGGTGTCTGCCTCACGGACTAAAACTGGTAGTTGGTTCCACAGGAGAGGATGGTTTATTAATCTGTAATATCCCTTCCATCCACTAGAGGGTGCTGTTCTTAGGCTGCTGGAGCAGAAACATGACTGGATCCAGAGTTGGGTCTGGATTAATGGATCCAGATCAAACTTTCTGTGGTTCTGTTGGTGAATAAAGTCCTTTAGTCCTAATTGGGTCCATTTAGCGGCGCTGATGGAGGAGCAGCTAAAGGGGATGATAGAAACGTGGAGGACGATACGCTAAACAATTAGATAAGAGAAGACATGCTAGCAGTTAGCGAGGTAGATTAATGAGGTCATGATCTTCATAGAGCAGAGTTCTAACGTTCCTCTGAGAAGAACCAGAACCTGCTGACAGAACATCGTCTCTTCCAGCTCTGACTGGTGGATTAAACTGGAACAGTTAGCTCCCAGTTAGCATCAGCTTCATAAGGTAAACAGTCTGACAGTATGTTAGAGCGACGTACCCCATCTGTTAATCATAGATCTATGTTCATTGGTAAATCATTTCTATATTCTGACCTAATTGGTTCCTTATTAGTTTAATTAAAAGTCTAAAAATGTCTGGAAACATTTTTCCTGTTGGATCCATCAGGAACCAGAGACGTGTTTTCATCTCTGAGCTTTAAAACCAGAACCAAGTTATCAGCAGGTTGAAGTTACTCACATCTTCTCTGGTTTCCACCTCCGTCCTGGAGATGGACGCCAGCAGAAACCGGTCCTCTGACCACCAGCTGCAGACTCCGCCCCCGTAGGGAACCTTCTCCTTAACCCCGCCTCCAGATGTTCACAGCAGCAAAGGAGTGAAGCTGCAGAAACGAGGCGGCGGCGGCGGCTTCGGATACCAGAAGAACAAGAACGTGAAGAAATCCAGAATCTTCAAGCATGTCAGCAAAGGGCCGAGTGACAGGAGGCAGTTCTCCCGCTGACCTCCTCTTCCTCCTCCTCCTCCTCCTCCTCCTCCTGTAAATGTCCCCCCCATCGCCCCCCTGATGTAATAAACCACATAAAGATGGCAGCCGGCGTTTGTTTCTGGACTTATTGGACCTCAGAGGCAGTTTGCTGCAGCGTCTCCTGGTTCTGCAGGACGTTTTCCCCTCAGACCATTAAAAGAAGCTGCTTCCAACTGGTTAGACTGGAAGGAAGCTGGAAATGGAAACAGTTTTTTATTGGAAGATATTTGATTAAATACTGAAGAAAAACATCCAGGTTGTTTCAGTCATTTAATTTATTCATAGATTCATTTATTCATTCGTTCATTTATTCATTCGTTCATTTATTCATTCGTTCATCCTTCTGTGCTTTAAGCTTCTAACTGGTTTGATTTCTTTATTTTTTTTTCTCACATCAATGTTTAAGTTCTGCTTATTTTAAGTCGTCTCTACAGAAGATTAAAGGTTTATTTCTGCATAAAGAGGTCTGGGCTGGATGGTACCGGCTGGTTCTGGAGGGTCGGACGGTCTGCAGATGATCAGGACTGTTTCAGGTTGGAGGTGGACCAGAACCGGGTTTCCTGTAGGCCAGGTACCGAGAACCAGATCCAAACCTTCAGAACGCTGGAGGTTCTGCCAGGTAGGAGGCGAAGGAGGTCCAGAACCCTGAGATACTGAGTGAGGAGGTCCAGTCAGCTTCAGAAACAATCCAGGATGATACCGTTTAGAACCTGGATGAAGCTTGAAGATCCATGAAAGAACGAGGAGGAACCATCAGGGTCAGAACCCAGCGGGGACTTAACAGCAGGAACTAGTTAGACTCTACAGAACCAGTTCCCCCCAGGTTCCACCTACTCTATCAGCGCTCCGCTCGCACACGGACTGATGGTCTGTGGTGTAAATCAGTGAGAGCTGTTCCACGTCCTCCGCACCGTGAAACATGGAGCAGAGTTATTTATTGCTCTGCTCCGGTCGGGCCGGGTCAAGATCCGCTTTTCCAAACACCAAACAGGAGAAACAGAGAAGATCCGGTTTGTTAATTTAAAATATAGCAACAACAGATCGGTAATAACTTGGAGCAAAATTGTTAAATATTCCATAAAACAAACACCGTTTATTAAAAAGATTGGATGCAAATTATTGGTTCTTCAACAGACCAGGAAGCAGATTTCTTCAAAATATTGATTTCATACCAAGAGGCTTAAAAGTTTAATCAAATCCAGTCAAAGAAACGTCTTATCCAGGAATGGATGCAGAGACGCTGAGTTTGGAAGCAGAGAACAAAGTTCATAAAAAGGCAGCTCTGATGATCCCATTTATCCCTGGAACAAAATCTACAACAAACAGAAAATATTTGGGCAGAAACTGAACATCTGGATGCTGGTGGGATTATTTTAAACTTAGCGTTTATTACAGGATCTTTTGCTCCTATGAATCTAATATGGCGCACGCTCTCCTGGAGCTCCGAGGATGAGTCAGTTTCATCTGCTGCCGTTAGTAGGCAGAAGTTCACAGCTGGATCTCCCCTAACATGTAGACCTAACTCTGGTTCCAGGGGGTCCAAAAGGTTCAACAAGTGCAAAACTAATAGATGTCCAGCAGAGGGCGCTGTCTCAGAGGGAAACTGGACCCCACTCTGTAATCAGATCCAGATCAGGTCCAAGTCTGAAGCATCTGAACCAGCCTGTCCCCTCAGATGAACCATGATCCTGCAGGCTGGTTCAGGACCTGAAGCTGCTGGGAAACCGCTCTTAGACCAGTTCACCCTGGACTGGGTGGTTCTGATGGACCTGCAGCCTGAACCCTCCCTGCTGGTTCACACGGGTCCGTTTCAACAAGCAGGTGTTTTGAAAACCCGTTTCTGTTGCCATAGTAACATT